CTCCTCTTTCCCCTCTCCTCCTCCTCCTCCTCCTCCTCCTCTTCTTCCTCTGATAGTTCAGCATCTAAATCATCATCAAGAGCACTCACCTAATTAATTAATTAATTAATTAATTAATTAATTATTCATGACTGACTCTTGGTTCCAGCTGCTCCGTTTCTTCCAAAATATGTCTCTTCTAAAAATAAATATAACGCAATATTAATTGATATTATTATTAATTAATAGTTAACAAAATATTATTATAATTAATGAACCTGTATTCGTGGTAATATCACATCACAGACTCTGTCCTCACGCAGTAAACTGTCAACAAACTCATCAACATGAGATAATTCAAACTCTAAATAAAATAATAAAATAAATAAATGTGTTATTTATAAACTTGCATTCTTACTTCCTTGTCTATTTTTATATTTTATTTTCCGGTATTCATTATACAGAGGCTCAAGGTATTTATAACATTCAACAGAAGTACCAACAATCCTCAGATACAGTGCACCCAGGGCCCTCACGTATCTAAAAATAGTAACAACAACATAAGAACATGTACATGTATCAGATAAAATTATAAAAATAGAGAATTCACTCCTTTTCAATTTTGGCAAAATTTGGTCTGAGACCATGTACTATAGTACAGGGACTTTTTCAGAATTTTGCCGTTTTCTTAAAATGGCCGTAACTCCAAAAAGTGAAGTTGGAATCAGCTCAAACTTGCTACACAGCATAAGGACATCAATATGTATCAGAAAATGTAATAAAAAGTTGGGGTGATTTCAGAGCCATTTTTTGGAAAAAACCATGGTCTATTGTCCGTTATCAAGAGTACATGATGGCTTTAGAGAGAGTGTCTAACCATAGTACTGTAGGCTGCTACATCACGGCGTAGAGTGTTTTATGAGTATCCAGCTAATGTCCAAGAGTAAACAAGTTTACTTATTTACAGTTTACATAACAAAACTATTTGATCAGTTTGCTCGAGATAACTTTAATAATTAAAGGGCAGGGTAGTTGTAGGTGGGGCCATAGTAGCAAAAATGGCGGTTCTATTACAAGCACTCCACGATTGTCTTCTAAACCTAGACGAATACTCGGTCTCTCTGTGCTCACTTGGAGATAGTTCTTGCCTAGTTATAGGCCACAAGAGGCTTCACAATCATCTACCATATGGGATGACGTCTCGTTGCTCCATAACTGTGACAGAAAAAGAGTATGTTGTCCATATTTTAACAAGAGAAGTGGAGAGAGGAGTTTTAGAAGTTGAGAATGCTGAAGATGTTGTCATCAAGCTGTGTCAGAAATATTCGCCTTCTTCAAGAGAGTTTAAGTTCTGCCCTGGTATCAACGTTGATGAGTATGACAAGCAAAGAAGTGAGATAAGGTTTGATGTGAAAAGTGTCAGGATTATGAAAGAGCCCTTCAGTCGCATCGATTCTGTGAGATGTGGTATGTGGTTTCAGTTAGGTAAAAGGGCCCCTAAATTACGA